AAAATGCATAGCTTCTGAACACATACACACAGCTTCCCGACAGTATGAGTTTTTGCTGGCTGTAGCTGTTACAGCGCTGCACAGCAAAAACGCATAAAAATGGTTCATTGCTCCAGAGTAGCTTACTTCGTACGTACTTGCCCATTGCATATATCGTTCACATCACCCACCGCAATAGCGCAATGTCTATTCGAGCACATTTCTATCATTCACTTATTTGTCAGTTGCTAACTGATACTTATTATTTAGCAAAAAAAGGTGTAAGTCAGAGTGAATCACGAGAGTGTAAATCTGCGCCTTTATCTAGTTCAGGGCAAACCTTCTTTCTTCATAGCGCATTTCATCGGCTTTCGCATAACGTAAATAATTGAATCCTGATGGATATCGGAATAAATCGATATCGGAGAAGTACTGCGCATGATGCCGATTTGATTGTAAAAAACTGTTCCTGCAGTTTTTCAAATGTAAAAAAAGTGACCATCCAGAAAAATTTCTAAGGAGACAATGCACGTATGTGGCTGAAGAGGGATAATGCAGTGCGGAGGCAAATAGCGTAGCCGGGTTTCGAAGTAAGATTGAAAGTGAGGATGAAGTCTCTCACCAACGAAAGCATTGCGAGCAGTCTAAGTAAAAGTGCAAAAGAAAATTTCAAATTATAGTAAAAGTTTCTAATTCACGAAGCAATCTATATTTCTGAAGGATAATTATTGGACGGATAAAAAGCATCTAACTAGATTTTATATGAATGATTGAAATGTATGGGGAAGGGAAGTAGGTAGGCTTTAGCGAGACAAGCAAAACACGCAGATTTCAAGCATATTTCTTCGTAGAATATCCTAGTCTGCATTTTTTGAAAAGATGGGGGAGTGCTTTTAGACAACGCTGATGACAAAGCAGCAGGCTTGTCTGTGCAACCATGCGTTTCTGTGCCAGTCTCGAAGCATGCCAAGATTTTCACATGTTCATACTTGAGATCTAGGAACACTAAAGAACTGGATTTGAATAACTTATAGACAGAAATAATTTTGCTAAAATTTTAGCTCCCTAGCTTTCACGTCAAACTCTTCACGCGCCACCCGTACGTGAAAAATGGGCATGCTTAGGGACTGAACTTGAAATTATTGGATTGCACATAGACAGAAAATCCTTTTAAAATTTTTGCTCCATAGTTTTTCTGGTTTCCAATTTGTCAATTTTCCTCATCAAAATTTTCACGCATCTGCATGTAATATACATGCGTATTTGGGAGTCGAAATTTGAAGTTGGATCGCACAAGTTAGTAGTTTCAACGCCA